TATATATATATATATATAGATACTACTCAGATTTAGTTAGATTCGAGCAGATCTGAACAGATCTGAGGTGATCTAATATAATAGATCTGAGTAGATCAAGAGTAGATCTAATAATAAATAAAAGTGTAAATTTTTCCATAGATTTACTAAATATTTATTTAGATCTATACTAAATATTTATTTAGATCTATACTTTACATCTATTTAGATTTAATTTGGATCCAATTAGATCTATTTTTCCATTTTTTTTTATCTCGTTAAATTTAAGTTAGATCTAATCCATTTTTTCTCCGGGGGGTAGGCAAAAGTTAATAACCGCATCGCGTTATTGTAACGGTTATTCTCGGTTATTTCTTTTCGAGAAATTTCTCTTTACCTTTTCGTTGTATGGAATTTTTGCGTTGTAATTGTCGCGAAGAGAACAATGCATTTTACTCGCACGTCGTTCGCGTTACGCGCGACACGCACAGTAGATTGTATTCAAATCAACGATTGTTAAATTACAACAGATTGATTAAAAAATCAAGATATTTTTTTACAAATCCACAATTTGTATAATTCCAACGGTTTTAGCTTTTTTAGCTCTTCGTTCGTTTAAATTTATCGACGCAACGCTGTTGCGACACATCGAAACTAAGCAACAATGAGAATTTACACAGAAATCCTTGATTTTTTTTCGTCGCGTTTGAACGTTAAATTAAATTCGCGAAATTCTCGACGCAAGATGGCATCATTCACAATCGGTCATTTCGCGCGTTCGCGTTTTAACGTTTCGAGCACATATACATATATAGCGGCGTTATAATACCGTCCTTCTCTTGCAAAACAGATTGCTTTTTGATTTCTCTTTCGAGCGCGATCGAAACGTGTTTCACGCAATCAACGTGTGAACGCAAATGCGGTTTGCGCACACGTACGTCTTAAAGTCGAGAAATGGGTACAAAAGAAAAAAATATGGAACATCGCGTCGTGTTTTTTTTTTTTTTTCAGGGTGTGACGCGCGCGTTTTACTTACTTAGAAAAAAAAGAGAGCAAGATATATATATATATAATTATATATATAACGCTAAGCGGTATTGATATTTTCATTACGGCAACCACGATACATATCAGTACATACATATCAGTAAATTATATAAAGATATATATATATATACATACATACATAATATATATAAAATGACGGGTGGTAACCGACGCCGGATTTTCTCGAGGTAGCGCTCGCGTCGTTGCGCTTTTCTTTTACTTTTTAACGAGAGAAGAAAAAAAATTATAAAACACGCATCTCACAAGAAAGTTACGAAAAAGATTCTTATATATACATATATATATATTATATACATATTTACATAAATATATTAAATTGTGCTATTATTATATATTTGTGCGACAATCGAGAAACAGCGTACGGCGTTCGAGTTTGACGATAATTTTTTTCTTACCTCGAGGGAATTTCTGTGAATCGATTGAGTAATGATATATATATATACATATATTTACTTAGTAAGCGTATCTTCTAGTCAGGAAAAAACCAAAAAAAAAAAAAAAACAAAAAAAAAAACCGATTGAGACATATCTTCTAATTAATATAAATTAATATAATATGTATAAGCGAGAGAAAAAACTTAGATATATTATACATACAAAGTATATAGGCGTACATAGCGGAAAAAAAAAAAAAAAAAAAAAAAAAAAAACATATCAACAGAGAAATCACTTTTATCAGATGGTAGAGATAATATTTTGGTATATAAAGATGAAAAAAAAAAGTGTAATAATTCCCTCCAGATGTCAATTACGGTCCAAAGTAGGGCCTGGACCGAAGGGCAAAATTTGAGGGAAACTCTTGTATGTGTTAGCAAATTACTCGAATGGGGTGTCAGGGTGGTCACGGCGCGTTGCAACGCCTTCTCTTTCTCTCTCTTTCTTTCTCCGCCTCCTCTCTCTCTCTCTCTCTCTCTTTTTCTTTCTTTCTTTCTCTCGCTATGTGCCCCTGACCCTCTGGCCCCAATTTTGTAAGCCATAAGGTCAAATCTATCTCTCCCCCGAGAGCGGCAGAATCGGAATTCTATCAATATCTGATGCAAGTATACATATATATGTCATGTTCTACATGCGCGTTAACTCGTCGCCTTGAAGTGATAACACACAGATCGTTGTTTTTTTTTTTTTTTCACTTATCATATATTAACGTTTTTGTTTGTAAAACTTAAATTATCGCTCGAGAAAAAGAGCTTTTACAGAATTTACTTATTATAATTTCTTTTTTTTTTTTTTTTTCTATACGTCGTTGATATTTCAGGAAATAATAATTTTGCAACGACAATTAAATTCTTATTGATAATTATTGATAATTCAAAGAGAAAAGCGAGTACCTATATTATTCGAAAAAAAAATTTGAAAATCTTATTTTTAGATATGATAAAATTTTTTAGCGGTAAACATACAGAATAGGGGAGCCCCCTCCGATCGGCTTCTCGCGTCCACATATATTATTAACATTACCTTCCCGAGTAACAATATGAAGGTTTTAGTTGTCGCTCATTGTTTATAAAAAAAGTTTCATAAATAAATCTTTTTTCCCGACAACATGTACATTTTTTGTTTGTTGAAAGCATGTAGGCAAGGGGGGCTGCGCCCCCCCCCCGCAGGTGGAGGGGCTTCGCTCCTTCCCTCTGCTCTCCCTAAAAAAAAAAATAGAAAACGACTTCCGATTACAGGTTGCTTTATGCAGTATGTTGTCGGGAAAAAAGATTTATTTATGAAACTTTTTTTGATCATAACTTTTTTATAAACAAAGAGCGACGGCTAAAACTTTTAGAAACGTACTCAAAAAAGTCAAAAAATTTACAATATATGTGTGAACGAGAAGCCGATCGGAGGGGGCTCCCCTATTCTGTATATTTGCCAAATTAGAGCTTGTTGAAAATGTAACTACAAATTTAAAACAATTATATTTTTTAAAAGCGCGAATACGCTCTATAAAATACATATAAAATTATTCTCGTAAAATTGAGCAGCTGAATTTGAAAGTATTGTGTAAATAAATTTTTAAGAAAAGAAGTATTATTAAAATAGTATATAAATTTTTTATTTTTATTAGAAGAAAGTGAAATGTTTTCGCACACATTGTTCAAAACTGAAGTGCCACATATGTTTACATCAATTTCTTTCTTGTATAATTCATAAATTGTGTTTAACACGTTCCCGGTAAAAAATTTTTCATGTATAAAATTGTACGGACACATATTCGGTATATATATATATATATATATATATATAAATTTGCATAATTAGATATAATAATTTTAATTTGTTTATAAAGTATACATGATATATATATTATATATCAAAACCTTTTTAAAAATAAAATATATCAAATATGATTATATCAAAACTTTTTTTAAAATAAAAATATAGTAAAAAAATAGTTTTATATAATTTTTTGTATCTAACATGATACTGATAGAGTTATTTTGTAATTTGATATGGAATATCTCTGAAGCCTATTCTCTTAAAAAAAAAGAAATTCTCCGTGTATAAAATTGTATTCGGACATATTCGGCATATAAATTTGCATAATTAGATATACTTATTATAATTTGTGTATAAGTACCTATATATAAAAAATTTTTTACCGGGAATTGTTAAAAAGAACACATTTTGAATCGGTATGTACGATCGCACTATTAATTAATTACTTAATTGATTATAAGTAAGATATGTAATAAATACTTTTTGTGTATACATATATATATATATGCGTTTCCATATAACACATCGCTTATAGACGGTAAGTTAATCAATAAATCGAAGTGATTATATAAGAGTCACATGTGTTGCAATTTTTCAGCCTTGTCACTTCAAACCGATGAAATATATAAAACGCAGCGCGTGCATATATATGCATACGTAAATTGTACATGTATAAAAAACAACAATTTGACCATCCTTATTATCGATTAACAATGTGATAATGTACTAAAAACTGTCATGCACCGTATATCGTATTATATCTATATATATATGTTATTTTTCGACTTCTAATTGTTGTACTGCCAAAGCGTTTTCTTATTATACGGCAAACTGAGACATACCTATACTATGTATACGCTGTAAGTAAATCTTCTTGCTTCTTCAAGTTTTTTGTACTTCATATTTGTTGAATGCTGCGTATTTTTTTCCTGCAAGTGATATTATTTTTGTCGTGCGGATATAACAGAGCCCGATCGTCGAATAAAGCGAACGTCTCTTCAGTTTTTTTTAATTGACTGAGTTTCAAGTTTTTCTACAGATCGTGTCGCGCAATTTTATTGTTAAAAAATTGTGTTTGAAAATAATGTACAATAAATAATTGGGTTATTTATTCAACGATGACAAATACAAAAACAGAGTCTTGAGTTCGCAGGATTTGGCACGTTTTTAGTAGAATAAGAATTTAACATACTTCTATCATATTTGTTTAGATTTTTTTACTAATAATATAAACACAGTATATACACTGATCTGTACGTTTGCTTTCTATCGTGTCTGGCTAGGAACAACAAATTTCACGACTTTAGAATGCGTGCTAGAAAGAAGTATCAGTTATATATATATATATATATATATATATATAAAATGTTGCGATATTACTTCAAACAGCTTGTTTTTGGATTGTTTAAACAATAAAATATTACAAAAGACACATAAGAACGACTGATCAATTTATTTACAGAGTAAAGTATATTTGTATGTTACATAAAGTTACATTACTCTTATGTTACATAGTTTTATGTTGTAGAAGATCTATATATATTGCGTTAACATACATTCATTCCTGAGATGTTTTCTTTTGGAATAGAGTTTTTTACAGCGGACGTTGATCCTTTGCCAGTCGGTTCCACCAGTTCGTATTTTTCCGACGCTCCGCCAACCTTTTTTAATTCGACAAAAAGAGATTGCACGTTCAGTTTGCGTGAAACTATCAGTTTGCGCTGATCCGCGCGACCGTAACTGCGAGATTTAAGACCTACGTTGTGCGCGATCCTAAAAAGATAATAAATTCTTCTATCGTGAAAACTTGTCGCATATTTTAACCGAAATTGAATTGACTTACGTATGGATTAGACCTCTTTCCTCATTTGTAAAATCTACAAACTCAATGTCATTGTCCGAGTCAATGTCAGTATTTCGTATAAAATTTTTAAACAATTTGTACCATCTAGCTTTCATTTCGGCTGAGCAGGAATTTGATTGCAAACCAAGACCTTCCTTTCGTCTTATCACCGGTCCCATCCTAAAAAAATAAAAGTAAAAACATTTTTTAAAAATACAAGGAAATGTGTGTGAATACAAGAAAAAAAAAAAACAGAATATTTTAAACCGGTAAACAAAGAATTGTTGTGTCTCGAAATTACTAACATCGCAGCCACGGGTTCTATCATTCCCTGCTTTGACTTTCCGAGACCACCACCGGTCCAACCCATCTGTTTCATCAGTTTACTTCCGATAGAATTGTCTTTGCTCCAATCATCATTTATATTAGGCCCTTCCGAATCTTTTGTTACAGTTATATATAATTTTCTATCGCGAGGTTTGAACTACAAATTGTAAAATTGCAACAAATATAACAAATATAGTAAAAATATATATCTGATATATTCTTATTCAAACAAAAGAGTCACAGTTCTTTTACCTTAATAGTGTAGCAATGCTCTCGACATTTCTCTAACGCGGCTTCTGATGCTAACATTCTAGCAACTTTCTTGTTGACATCGGTACAACTTACCAGGACAGTGTCATCCAAACAAACGTCACATTTCCTTAAAAAATAACAATGAAAAATTTTGAGATTCGATACACACAAATTTACAATAAGAAATACACCGGTATATATATATATATATATTTACAAACACTGAATCTTAAATATATATATGTGCATACATATTTGTGTTCTATATAAATAAAAAAATAATGCTCACCAAACTTTTGTATCATTTTCATTTACTTGTGTATACTTGTACTTAAAGACAATGCCGGCTAAACTAGTTGAACTACTAATTATAGCCGGTGCCATATCACCGGGTCTTTCAACAAGAATCAAACGTCTGTAAAGTTGATCTTCCGTGCTATCTGTTTCCGTCATCAAATTTTTAGAAGACAATTCTTCAATTTCTATTGTCCTCGCTTTTTCAATGTTTTTTTTCTTACTATTATTAACTGTATTGGATATAGATTTTTCCGTGTCATCGGAAGATAACTGTTCAATTGTTTTGTTGTCAGAAATTTCACAAGATTGAACGGTATGTTTATACGTCATTGATGTGCGATTTTCTACGTCTTTAGATTTAGAGGCAGAAAGTCCTGGATAAAATAAATTTCAAAATTATTACAAAATTGTTTGTCGCAATAAAACATATATATAATTGTTATATATATATATATATAGCATATATCTGTTATTTTATATACACTAGTAGGTCCTCTTAAACTCACCAATTTTGAGATCTCAAAATGAGACAAGACATAAGAGATAAATCTGGAAAACTTAAAAAAAACAAAAAGGAGAGATAACAACCGATAACAACCAATAAAAACAAATACAAGAATAAAAACATTTTTTTGCGATTCAAGAGGAGCTACCGTATGTTGAAACAAAACATTAAAACTTTTGGCACAATATAGGTATATGTATATATATATATACGTATATATACACATAGATGGTATGTACGTCATAATAATATAATATATATAAAAAACAAATACAAACTGTACCACAGGTATATAACTCACAATTTTTCTTTATACCTTTAACCTTAGAACTTGCTGCTTCTGAAGCTTCCACAAAGGTTCTCTGTAACTTTTTCTTTTGCTTTTCTCTATATTCAGCCGCTACCTCTTGAGACAATTCCTTTACTAAATCCATTGTTTCTTGTGGATATCTGTAAAAGAATTTATATTAACAAACTTTCTTTGCACTTGTATACAAGACAACATTTCTGTGATACTTGGTGTGAGTTTGTATAGAGAGTTATATCAATATTTTTTATAATGACTATAATATAAAAAAAAAAACGTTTATAAGATATTCAGCTGTGTATCATTTAGCATTGTTTGTTCGTCACAACGTCCGTTTTTTTTTTTTTTTACCTGCATCCCAATACCTCAACGTTGACAAACACCTGAGCTAAACAAACAAGCGCGTCTTCCGTGAATTTGTTTTTGTGAGCTAGTAAAAATTTGCGCCTCAAATCCCAGTGTTCGTCGGGTTCGTGTTCTACCTTGTGTTTTTCCACGTCCCAATCTTCATTTATACTCATTTTTTCACGTACAAATATATTTTCTCTCCGCAAGTTATTAGTAACACCGCGTTCTAATGATCGATCACAATGTTGCTCTCGGTTGTTCCGCGACTGTTGATACCTTCCTGTGTAGAGGGCTGTATTCTGTACGAGAGAAAGTGAGAGAGAGAGAGAGAGGAAGTTCCATATTCAAGAGAGAGAGAGAGAACTTCCTGCTGTACAATCTGTTCAATGAGAGAATTCGTCGATCCTCGCTCGCAGGGAGGAAGCAAACAAAAATTCGCAGCCAATAACGGCTGTGGAACGTGGGAGAGTTTTCTGACGGGATAGGAAATATGCGCGAAACGAAGGACGAGTTTTTTTTTGTTCGTTGCGAGAATATTCTCTCGTAAAACAGAGAGTGTAGAATCTCGCCGAGACCTTTTAGGCGGCACCTTTTTATTTTTTATAACAACATTAAGAGAATTAACCAATCAGAATTATCTTTTTATTTATCCTTCGAGATCGTGAAGACGAAGGATCTTCGATTGGTCTCCGTGCTTGGTCTCCTTGACTAACAGATGACGCGGTTAGTAGTGACGTTGGTTATAGCAACGACCGTCTCGTGGACGTGCGTCGTTCGTGCTCGTTTTTTTGAGTCGACCTATTGCGGTCGATTTTTCGAAATTTTTCAATTCTACGTAGCTTCTCAGCAAACACACAGAATATAACTGCTATGTAACGTAGAGGTAACAGCGTGATATAACGTAATATAACAGCTGTTATAAATCTATTGACATCAATGTTATGTAACTTTGTTTGATAAATGTAATATAATTGTAATAAGAAAATTAAGTCGTACGAGCCGCTTTTGCAGAATGTTATGCAGAAATATATATAGTATATAGAGGGTGTCTCATAATGACCGTATCACCGCTCGTAGGCAGGTAGAAGGGATTATTCCGAGTCGAAAAGTCCTGAACCATTTTTTTCTATTATTTATAATAAAGGAGTAATTATTGAATAAATTAAGCCAATCAGCGCCGACCTTTAGCCGCGCGAAGCGCTCACGCATATCAGGCGCGTGGTTCACTGACGTGCGTTCGGCTAAAGGTCGGCGCTGATTGGCTTGATTTATTCAATAAATTACTCCTTTATCATACGTAATAGAAAAAAATGGTTCAGGACTTTTTGACTCAGAATAATCCCTTCTACCTGCCTACGAGCGGTGATACGGTCATTATGAAACATATATATATATATATATACTTCAATTTTTGAATTGAAAATACAATTCTTAAATTTCAATTCAAAAATTTCACGTGTAATTTACACGTGAATACATATATACATATGTGTATACATATATATATATATATATATATATACTATATATTTCTGCATAACATCCTGCAAAAGCGACTCGTATGACTTAATTTTCTTGTTAGTATTTGGAGAGCCTGAAAGTTTCTTTAATATAAT